CCCCCTACCCCGACCACCCCCTATCACCCCACCACCACCACCAACACCAACCCTCCATTAAAAAATATTTTTTTAAAAAAAATCATTTTAACCTAACCCCCCCCCCCCCCCCCCCTCCCATACCCCACCCCACAAAAGATAAATTAAAAAATTTAATTTTGTAAATTTCATATCCCGATTTGAAAGTGAGTCCAGTGTGGTCGAATCTTATTTAGAAATTGATTCCCGCATCAAGTGTCGGAATCAGATCCTGATTTGAAAGTCGAGTCCTGATTCGAGTGTCAAAGTCAATTTCGGATTGATCGATCGTGTTTAGGTTCGGGTCGAAATCAGGTCGGGATTGGGTCCTAATTCGAATATCAGGTCTCATGTAGGGAGTCAGAGTTGGTCCTAATTCGAATATCAGGCCTCGAGTAGGTAGTCAGGGTCAGGTCCTAATCGGTGTCGGGGTCGAGTCGGATGTTGGTGTCGGGTCCTACTTTGAATTTCAAGTCTCGAGCGAGAGTTAGGGTTAGGTCTCGGGGTTTGATTTTGGATCGATCATCGGGGTCTTTTCCAGTTCAGGTGTCGGGGTTTGGGTTAGGTCTCGAGTCGAGAGTTGGAGTCAGGTCCCAGATCAGGTGTCAGAGTCGGGGTCGGGTCTTAGTTTGAATGTCGGATCCTGGATCGTTATCGGAGTAGGATCTTGAATCAGATGTCTTCGGGGTCAGGTCCCAAATTGGTTATGTCGAGGTTGATTTTCATGTCAGAAACTATTTTCCTAAAATGTATTTTCTACTTTCTAGCAAAAAATAAAAGTTAATTTTGATATTTTCTAGGAAATATTTTTCATTCACCAACGTAACAATATAAAATATTTTCCAGTCACCAACCAAACATGAGAAAATAAGTTGGAAACCAACTTGTTCTCCAAGAAAACATTTTCTAGGAACACATTTTTCATGAAAAACATTTTCCCTCCTATCAAACACACCCTTAATTTCAATTGATACAATATCGAGATGCAAAAATCAAAATTCTAACACAAAGAATAAGAAACAAAGATAAACAAAAGATAAAAGGATAGAATAAGAGACACGAGATAGAAAACAATTGAGAATAATGATTATAGATCAATCAATACCCCCAATTGACTTGATTCCACAAAGCACCAATCCTATAAAAGTAAGACACGGGAATGAGACTAATAGACAATCAGGAATATATCAAAATCAAGACCACATATTTAAGAACACCAAATAAATACCTATATTATAGAGATAACCCTCAAGAGGAATGATTTCCTCCAGCAACAACTATGGCCTTAGACTCAAACCCCCTCAAGAGTATACTCAATTCATAAGAATTCAATATATCAAAATTAATAATCTATTTAATTAAAATGATATAGTGTAGTATTTATACTATACTAGACTTGGAATAAACATTAATAATGATTATTACAAAAATATCCTTGATGAATTAAGAGTCTTTTTAGTCAAGACGTTTGCATTTTAAGAAAGTCATTATGAATTAATAGCATCTTTCTCGAATTAGAGTCAATTGTAGTTCCAATCTCATAGTGTTAAGAGCTAATTACATTTTATTCCTATTCATTTCCAAATCACATAAATCTCTTAAAATTTAAGGATTTCGAATACATCACTCAACGTCTCGATACATTACCTTTGTTGATACAAGACATACTTGTCCTGATACATACGTCCAAATACATCACATTCCGATGTAAGAAAAGTTTCTTGCTTCTGGTCCAAGTTTACTTGTGGCCCAAATTTACTTGTGAGTCAAGTCCCTTATTTACTTGTGACCCAAGTCCCTTATTTAAATAAGATTTATATAAGGTAAAAATATTGATTTTAAAGTCTTAGTTTTAGGACTTTTAATATAGTTCAAATAAGAAAAATATTTAATAACTATAAGTTTAGTTACATTTCTTGTCCTAAGTACTAGCATAATTAAAAGACAATTATTTGAGTAAAATAGTAAATGACAATTTTGTCTGTTGTAAAATCTTTTAATGAAGGGTAATTAGTTCAATCAACCTTAGACATTCATGCTATTCCAAACACATCTCCAACTCCAACATTAAAATTTTCAAATAAGGTGAATAATATTACGTTTCATGCCCACTAAGCTTTAAAACCTTTTCGTATAGGGAAAATACATAAAAAAAACCTCTTGAACTTGGCGCGAGAACTTACTTTAGTACTTAAACTACACAGGTGCTTATATAACCCCCTTAACATCTTTTATGTGAATTATTTTAAACCCTTCGAACACCAGCCTTGTGCGCGTGTTGTTACAGCTTAGAACGGCGCGTTAGTCATCTTTTAACATTTTTTAAAAATTAAATATGCCCCTCCAACGGTAATATCCGATCCATTACCCATTTGAAGAACAATCTTCACTTTTTAAGAACCCTAATTACCTCTTCTCCCTCACCAACCCAATCATCCAAAAATGGTGACCTAATTTATTTTTTTTCTCAAATCTTAGCTCTTCAAACCTAATAGTTGAATCTTTGAAGGAATTATTGTTCTTCAAAAATGTAAGATTCAAACTTATTCTTCTTCATCTATTATTTTGATTTTTGTTTCCTCACTTTAAAATGGTGACCTAATTTATTATATTTTTCTTGATTTTTTTCAAATCTTAGCTCTTCAAACCTAAAAGTTGAATCTTTGAAGGAATTATTGTTCTTCAAAAATGTAAGATTCAAACTTATTCTTCTTCATCTATTATTTTGATTTTTGTTTCCTCTCTTTTCAGTTTTTCCAATTGTTTATCAGTTTTTCAAGATTGTCGTTACTTCTTGAACAATTTTGTAGCACACAATGCGATCAATTACTTCGCGCTAACGAAAGAAAAATCTTTAGATTAGGTCTTGTAGATTTGAGAGAATGAGAATCGGGCTTAGAGATTTAGGGATATTTGTTTAGTATTGGGTCGGGTTGTATTTTGGGAACGGGTGAATTATATAAAATGGGTAAGATATTTTTTAAACCCTTAGCGACGTGGACCAATGAAAATGCGCGTGTGTAACAATGCTCAACCTTCAACTGGGCTGGTGTTCAGAGGGTTGAAAATAATTCACATCAAATATGTTAAGGGGGGTATATAAATACCCGTGTAGTTTAAGTACTAAAGTAAATTTTCGTGCCAAGTTCAGGGGGGGTTTTATGTATTTTCCCTTTCGTATATAATAAATATTTTTCAAGAATCACTAGTTATACTCGAAATTATATTTAGCTTAAATGTGAAGAAATAATTAGCTAACTTGAATCATTTATTAAATAATTATAAAAATTGAAACATATAAAAAATAATTTAAATATCAATCATAAAATTGCTATTTATTTTTATCTTAAACCAAACACTAAGCTTATACTAGGAGCGAAGTAAATACTACTTTGTTGGAACATACATATCATCAAGTAACATGTTATTATATGGTTTTGTATTTAAGTAGAAAACGAGTTTAATTGTATTATAGCATATTATATCTTTTAGGAGACTTTTTGTCGACATTAGTTATTCTTATTAATTCTCCTAATACATCTTACCATGTATTTTTCTCTTACCATATATTTAGGGGTCCATAAATTTTTACCTGTTAATATATATTTCCTCTTATCATATATTTTAGGAGTGTTCGTTCTTACCATATATTTTAAGAGTCAATATCATAAATATAATTAAATAATAATTTGAGAAAAATAGTAAATAAGAATTTTTTCTATAGAAAAGTCTTTGAAAGAGGGAAAAAAGTTCATCAACGTTTCTAGATACTATAAATAACATATGAAGAGAAAATTAAAGTGTTTTATAGTAGGATAAAATGTAGGATAGTTGGGTGTTCATAACACGAAGACAAAAATAATCTAGGACACATGTACTTGTGTTTAAAATTTATTTACATCGAAAGAATAGTTCAAGACAAACCTGATGGCGATAATCGTAATGGAAAGTTTTCTTCGTTATATGAAGATTCTATATGCGTATCCACACCGAGAACAACATTTACTATCAACTCTGAATCAACATACTTTGTGCAAGTTAGAGGGTTACAATAACCTAAAGAATTAACAAATCAATGAATGATCACATAAAATTTTATTTTTAAAATACGATTTTCTAAGATGGAGTGAAAAATCAATGCATCATCGAGTTTGACTTGATAATTTGAAAAATAATTCGAGCAAGTGGTCATTGATGGATAAGATGATTATTTCTTAACATCAACTCTTTGATCATACTAACAAAGAAGAACAAAAATAAATAAAATGAAGATTCAATTTTTAATAACCTCATGACCACAAGCATTCATAATTTGATCCGAGGCTACCAACTTTAACATGTAGTACATATAATTGTTTATGTGCTAGAATTTAATTTGGGCTCGACTATATATAACTCTATTAATTTAGGTCAAGTAGTTAGTTTTTTTTTATGTTTTCCACCCAATGTCCGGAGTCCACATTGGAGCGCTGACTGAATTCAAATTGCACACTTCAGAGCCCATTCCTTATTAGGTTAAGAAAAACGTAATTTAAATTTAAATTATTTTAACCTAATGAAATTGAATAATAACAAGGAGATAATAATTAGAAGTCTTTTTCTTAATTCTTCTTTCTATATATTTTAGGAGTTTTAGCATACATGTGTTGCACATGTATATTACATTAAAAGATTTATAGAAGAAAGAAAATTAAAAAGTAGCAATTAAACTCAATTAACATAAATGCAAAAGGTTTAACTAATATTGATAGTGTAACCCTTTTTACTAGACAATATCTTGTTACAAACCTAATTTTAAACTCTTGTTTGTAGTTTTTTAAACACTGCCTTCACTAATTGCTCATTCTTTTTTTCTTCTCAAACCTGAACCTAAAAAGAGATGAAAAGCAAAAGGAAAAGAAAAAGCACTAATATTAGGAATTTGACACATAATCTATAATTAAGACTTCAACAATTTAAGTTTCTATCTAACATGAAAAAAATAACAGTTTGATACCAATTAGAATGGGCTAGACAATATTGTTGAATCACAAAATCATTGATTAAGATGATAAATTATGCGCTCTCTTGCTTGGAGCTTCAAATTGCAGTTATACTAAATCAAGACAATTAATTGTATCCTTTTTCACTCTCTTCTTTAATTTTTGCAACACGTTATGAATTAATTTGTAATTTTTTGTATTCTATTGAATAGATCTCGTAAACAAAAAAATGAAACGAAAGGACAAAACACTTGGTGATGTAAATGGAAACATTCTGCAGTGATTATTCAAAAGAAGACTATTTTCTTTTTCCATAAATAAAATTAAAAATATCACAGCTTGGTGATGCAAATGAGGCCTAGATCCAACAAAATCAAATAACTAGATCACTTGATAATTCATAAAACCCTAAGAAAAGTACAATCAGACATTCATAGAAGTGAGTGAGTACTTACATCTAATTCTGAGACCAATTGAGCTTGGGGATCTCTTTTTCTTCTTTTAGCTAATATTTTTCCATTTTCTCTAGCTGGTGCGGCTGCTCTTTTTTCTTGTGGTTTTATATACTAGGTTTAGGGGTAGTATGGTCTATTTCTTCTCTTTTGGATCTAATCTTCTTAAAGTATCCTAATATGGATTTTGGATCAGATTAAAAAATTTGTAGAGAACGAATGTTATATGAATTGTGGATAAGATAAAAAAATTTGGGGAGGAAGAGTGAAGTATTCTCTTTTCTAATAGAATATGCTTTCGATATAGATTGGAATGAAATTTAACACATGACAACATGTTATTGGGTTCGATCTTTTAAATTTTTATTTTGAAAATATTCAACAATAAAAATAATACCTAAATATTACATATATGAAAATTAAAAAAACATAGTTTTTTGTAATTTTTCTTTTTCCCTGCAAATAAAAAATAAAAACATTATCTAGAAAAACAAGAGTTTTTGTGATATTCAATTTTCTAGAGTAAAATCAATGTTAAAATGATATAAAAGTTTTAAAAAAAATTAGATTTTAAAATAGATATTTAAATATAAAAAAATGGGTGGAAACACATGAAGGGCCAAAAAGCACTTGTCTACAACTATCTCTACCCTTATACAAGTGTAGAATTCTTGCACTAGGGCAGAACTAAACATATCAGGCTCTTCGGTGAATGTTTCCTAACCCCAGTTGTTGATCTGCTCCAGAACCCATGGAAATGACTCAAATAACCCTAGAGTGTGAGTCACCACTCGACGATAAATCTCCTCTTGAGTGAGTATGACGCCCAAATTTCATTTGAGGGGAAGTGTATATCATCTTCCATTTTCTATTGGGTGTCTATTGGTGCAACATAAGTGGGACTTACATGGGTATTACCCTTCCACTCTTTAGTCTATTCGGTTGTTCTCTTCCATTTAACGCCCACCATGCATTACGCGGATGTCACGCCCGAGCCTACACCATGGACGCGACTGGCACTCGAGAACCATTTTTTGCCCTAAGCGAACCCTTGGCCTGGCTCAAATCTCAACGGAAGACTTACTCAACATTTGAAAGGACTCAAAAGTAAAACTTTAAAATCAATGTCTCAAATAGGTAAACTCAGAATAATTTAAAGAAACATTCAACTGGCCCCAATGGCAACTCAAGTCTAGAACATTAACATTTGAAAATGAAAAGACTCATGAACTATTGTCTATCTATCTATGAAGCATCTAATACTATGAGGGATGTCTGGACAAGACCCCCGATAATTCTAACAAACTGAAATACTGGGAAAATAAAGAAGGGATCCTCGAAAGCAAGTAGGCTCACCAAACAAATCTGGAACTCGACTGGATCAACGAAGCGCTGGTTGATGATCCTGGTTACCTGTATCCAAATAATAAAGAATGCAGGACAAATGGCGTCAGTACATGGAATGTACGAGCATGCAAGGGGAAATCTAAAACGTGACATAAGCTTGAACTGGAACTGAAGAAACAACTTACCTCGTCTCAACTCAATTCAACATCAACTCAATCTCATCTCATTTCAATATAAAGGCTATAAAGATAATGCATATAAACAAAAGCTTTTAAAAGAGTAGGTAGCAACTAAATGTATTGGAAAAGACAATATAACTCAATTTGTATGTAAAAATACAAAATAAACTTTGTTTTGGAGATTCTCTAACCGACAACTATCACTATGAGCTATGTGATGATACAACGTCTTGCCCATGCTGCCGGAACTGTCCTATACTTTATCGGAGTATAGGAATACTCTAAGTGGATCCACTAAGCTATGCTTAAAAAGCAATAAGAAATCACCTACAAAGTATGACCCTTTTTACCCACGTTGGCTACATGGTTTATGAGGGTTGTGAATTGTTTGAACTCTCCCCATATCGGTGATCCATACTACTCCCAAAATATAACTTAGCTCATATGATTTAAAAAAACATTTCCTCATCCTCAACTTTGAGATTATTACTCAAAAGAATTCTTTTAAAAGAGATAGTACTCAAAACTGCTCATGAACTCTTTTGGAAATCGATGTATCCTCTCATCTTAAATGCAAAAACATTTACTCTCGGGAATACTTAGTTTCCATATATTCATTTTGAAAAATGAACTTAACTTTACTTATCTTCAAACTCAAGTACTCAAGTCTTAAAACAAGTTTAAAAATGATTGTAAAAAGACTTCTCAAAATGACTCGGAAGAACTCTCAAGACTTAACTCTTTAAACTCTACCTTGAATATGAATTATGAATTCAAGTGTAACATCTCGCTTTTTGAAAGAACTAGAAAGACTTAGAATTGGAAAGAAACCATTTTTTTTTGGAAATAATCAAATTTGGAAAGTTTGACAAAGTTAAGCTAAGTATGAGTTTTGGGTCGACTTCAAACAACCATAAATCCTATCTCAAGATGATTTAGGTATGCTACCAGATACCGTAGGAAAGATCTTTGAATTATCTTTCCAACTCCACCGAGTTGCTCAGTTTCGAGTTAGTATGAGGGAGATATGTCCATTCGAAGTTAGGTTGTCTAGATAAAGAAAGTCAAAACCGGATTTTAGAAGGGCATTATGGTCTTTTCACTACCCAATTAATTAAATTCATTTTTGGTAATTAAGTTGGGGACAAAACTGATTGGATTCAATTTACGCTTCATAAAAATAAGTTAGGGTTTTGAGAGAAGAGAAAAGAAGAGGAGAAAAGAGGAGAGGATCAAGGCGTTCGTCGAGGTTCTTGAGTTTTGTCATGGATTTTCACCATGGGTTTGATACCTAAGAGGTATGTAAGTTTCCATAGTGTTGGGTTTGTTCACCCACACGCAAATCATGTTAATTTCATCGTTAAATTCATTCTAGAAATATGAACGTTTGAAGTTCTTGAAATTGGCTTTCATTTTTGAGTTAAGATGAGATTGATGAGTTCTTGAGGAAATCGAGTCGATTTTAGAGTTGTATTTGATTAGATTCTTGGGTACATATATTGGGTATCTGAATCTAAAGAGAAATTGAGAAAAAGAATCGAATTTAGGCGAATTGAGGTTACAAAACGAGGAAGAAAAAATCGGACAAGGAACAGGTACCAGGTCCGCGACGCGAACCTGTTCCTTCAGTGTGAAAATTTTCTCTCCTCGTAGTGGAGACGTCGCAGATTCCACTGTTTCAAAAATTATTTCGACCAAACATTTTAATTCATCTCCGCGTCGCGGACTTGCTCCCCAGACAGTGCTTTTCAACCGTTTCTGATGTTCAACTATCTGAAAACACTCCTAAACAACACAAGATCTTTCCTATCACAAATCACAACCCTGAGTAAATAAATCAAATTCAAGGTAGAGTTGAGAGTCAAGTTTTGAGGGTTCTTCCAAACATTTTTGAGAAAGTCCCTTTGAGTCTTCTACAACATCTACTAACTTGTTTCAAGACTTGAGCAAGTGAGTATGAGGATGAGTAGAATGTATTCATGAGTCTACTTTGTCATCAAGAGATCGTTCATATCATGAACCATAACTCTTGAATTCATAATTCACATTCAAGAGAGAATTAAGAGCAGAGTTCAAGGAAGCCTTTGAGTTCAATTGTGAATCCTTTGAGATCCATCATCGATTTGAGTTAAGTTTTGAGTAAGTAAGTATGAGAATGAGAAGAGTAGTATCTTCAAGTTCTAAGTCTTGAGTATTGAGTTCCTAATTCCCTTTGAGATTATATTTCTAATCATGGGGCTATTACATGTTACCCATGAAGTTCTTGAGTTGAATTGTTCATGCCATAATTCCGCATGAACCCTATAAGTCGAATAGTCTTGAGATGAGAATTATCTTTGAGTCCTTGAGTTGAATAGTTCATGCTAATAATTCCGCATGAACCCTCTGAGTTGAGAATTCTTGAAATAAGTAGTTAGGGATGGCAATGGGGCAGTGTAGGGCGGGGGCGATGCGGGTTGACTTCAACCTGCAAAATTTTTAATCCGCCAAGCCCCGCAGAACAACTCTTTTCATTTTCAACCCGCCCCGTATAATTTTTTTAATATTTTCTTTTTCTAGTTATGTTTGATACTAAAATAAAATTCATAAAAATAAATTCATTTTTTCATTAAGTTGTATTAATTTTATAGGATAGTGACTTAAAATTTTATTTTTTAGAGGTCAATTGGGAAACATGTAAGAAATTGTATTATTTTTTATCGAACCATTTTCATTTATTATCTTGAATATTTTAGTAGATTTAATGAAATTATCTTAATAAATAATGTTCTATCACTCTTATAACATGTAAAAAGTTAAAATTAAGTTTGAACCCACATAAAATCACATATACCCGCAACCCTCCCCACCCCACATTAATCTTTAAGAAACCCACTTCAACCCACCCTGAATCAAACCCGCCCCACACAACTTTAAACCCGCCCACCCCACATAGCCTTAAACCCACCCCGCTCCGCATCTGCCCCGTCCCATTGCCATCCCTATAAGTAATATCATTGAAGTTCTTAAGTTCCAAGTATTGAGTTCTATCTATGGTTATTGGAAGCCTTGCATTAAGTCGTTCACGCCCATAATTTGGCTTAAACCATATTTTAAGAAGTCTTTTACAAATGTTTTAACTTTGTTTTAAGACTTACGCTTTGAGTTTAGTAAAGAGTAAGAGTAAAGTTCATTTCTTCAAAGATTATACGGGAACGAAGTATTCCCAAGAATTAAAATGTTTTCACATTTGAGCAAGAAAGGAAGCACCGATTTCCAAGAGAGCTTTTATGCTAAGTTTTGAGTAATTATCTCAAACCAAAGAAAGAGTTTTTTAAAAAATCATATGAGCTGAGTATATTTTGGGAGTAGTATTGAGCACCGATACGGGGATGCCAGTTCATAATACCTCAAGTCTCCATAAACCATGTAGCCATCATGGGTAGAAAAGGATCATACTGTTTAGTTGATTCCTTAGTGTTTTTTAGCATAGGCTAGTGGATCCACTTAGTTAAGGCGTTCTATATGACGACAAAGTATATGATAGTTCTGGCAGCGTGGGCAAGATGTTGTATCATCACTTAGGCTCATAGTGGTGGTTGTCGATTAGAGAAACTCCCATAGAGATATATTGTATTTTTATATACACACACTGAGTATTGTTGTATTTTTCAATACACTGAGTTGCTATCAACAATTTTACAACTTT